TTTTTTTATATAATACATGATAACGGGCACATAAAATAAATGAGATTTATTCCTCAATAACATTTGCGCTTGTTTTCGATTCTCGAAAAATGATTAATGCATATTGTTTTATTCAGTAATATGCATGACCAAAGTTTCATTTAATTTTGGTTTATGTTTATTGATTTGAACATGAACAAAACAGACTTATTATCGTTAGTACAAAATGAGTGAAACAAACGCAAAGACTTCTTATATGTTCAAATTTGTGTAGAAATAGAAAGTTGCTGCTATTTAAAATAAAAATGCTTTGCAGTGGTATGAGAAAAAAAATATCTGTGTGAAGTGAAAAAAAATTAAAATTGTTTCTGTTGTTTGCACGCTGCATTGCTGTTGAATTGAATATTGAGAAGATATAGAAATAAAAAAGAAATCTTATTGAGGGTGAAACGATTCACATTTGCACAGTCTTCACATAAAACTAATCACTATTATTTATTCTCTAGACTTTGAACTCTATTTCCATCTAATTTCTGTATTATTTCGGCTAGTATTTTATTTACACTGAACATAAATTATTCGAAATTAAAGTAATAATTAGTGAGGGGGGCAATTTTGTTTGCCACCCGAATGCATTTTGATATAAATCACGAATCGTAACGTTTATATAAGATCAATTAATTCGAATCGTTTGTAACTTTGTAGAACTAAATGTTTGTGTGTGTTTTATTTTTATTTTTTTTTTAAATGCAAAATGTTCGCCTTGTTTTTGCTGGCGAATTTTCAACAAAGTACATCGGTCGATTTTATAAAATGAATAAAATGTAAAAAAGCAACGCTTTTTTCTATACTCTTAATATATCTAATCAAATCGTCTTTAGTTTAAAATCAAATAGTTTTGTCGAATGATAAAAAAAAATTTTTAAAAGTTTTTCTTTTCAAAAAGAAGCTCAACAAAGAAAAAGGGAAAAGATTTTGATCAAAAAATTTTTTTACTTCTTTTTTCATTTAAAAAAAAGTCTAATAAAACGGCGCACCGATGGCACCATACTAATTAACACGTTATAAAGCCTAGTTATCTTCTTTCGTTTTGATTGGCTAATTTCTAAAAACTCGAAATATTATGCTATTATGAAAACGATAATTCTTCGTCTACGTAAGAGTCGAATGTATGTATATAATATCTTTTCCATTCTTCTTCGTTTTACAGTTATGCAACTTTTCTGTTGATTTGAGAAAAACAAAATTGCAATTAAAGTGAAATTATATGCATTTAAAATTACATAAAATAAATTGATATTTTGTCTTTTGTTTTTTCATGCGTATGTGTTGAATAGCCTATAGATTCAGATAAAAAGTTCATAAATTGTTCTTTTTAAAAAACATCGTATCTTATGTACAATTTTTCAATGATAATTTCTGATTATCCTAATCGTATTCGTATTTTAATTGATTTAAATATAAATCGCATCAGTTCCTTTGTTTGTTTGATTGCCACCTGTGTTTGCCATATAATTCATATTATTTGCCGGAGGCGAATTGATGCCTTCGGACCAATCAGAATTTGAGTGCGGCGATGAGCTTGACCAATGGCCCGGCGATTCGGGTGATGGTGTCGGGAAGCTATCGAGTGTATGGGTCATATGTTGTGGCGTTATTCCGCCGGAATGTTGACTTGGCGGCGTCAAATATTGATAATAATTTTGTTGCGAATGTGGCGATGATTGCGTGGAATTTGTGTGCTGTGACATCGAACCATGATTCATTTGACCTACAATCAGAATGCAAATATTTTGTTAGACACCATTTCCAATTTTCATCACAACTGCTAAAATGTTTGGCAGACAAATTTTTACCTGTAATGCTGCAATAGCTAGCTATTTCGGCCATGCTCAATTCGTATTCAAAATCCATTATTGCACCATTGTTCGATCCATCATTTTGTTGTTGTGTGCTGGACGCTTGATTTTGGTCTTGCTGTGGTTGTGACTGTAAATTGCAATGAGTTCGGTTAGTTTTGAATGAATTTCCAAAGAAAAGTTCTGAATTGCCTACCACTTGGGGCTGTGTTTGTTGTTGTAATTGTTGAAGAAAGTCATGCTGCTGTTGTTGCATTTGAGACTGTTGAGCCTGTTGTTGTTGCTGCTGTTGTTGTTGTTGCTGTTGTTGCTGTTGCTGCTGTTGCTGTTGTTGTTGCTGTTGCTGTTGCTGCTGCTGTTGCTGCTGCTGTTGCTGTTGAGCTTGCATTTGCAATTGCTGTTGTTGCATGTGTTGCAGCTGAGATTGACTATGGGGACTGTTTGAACAATGCGATGATGAACTACTGAGCGGTGATTGGACCGACGACCCGGTACTGTTGAGAGCATGTAATTGAGCACCGTGTTTCTGTTGTGTTGCATGTCTCATCGCTTGAATGTGCGTTGGAGATGTTGGCAAACATGGACGATTCTTTGCCGGTGATGGCGAATCTAAATTTTTCGAATCGAACGCAAATATTTAAAAATTAATTCAACATTTCCCTGAAATATAGTGGATGCTAACGAGAAAGTTGAAAATACATACCAATATAGCCTTGTGGTGAAAGAGCCATATTACTTTGCACCGAATATGGTGGCGATTGATTCGAGTATGGTGGACTTAATCCTTGATCACCCATATTATTGACATTTGGAACACTTCGTTGTGTGTTCATGAGATCTGGGAATGGTGAACCCATTGTGTAACCGTAATTATCGAAATTGATATTGTGCAACGATTGCATTGACTGAGCATTCTGAAGAAGCAAATGACAAAAAGAAAAACAAAAATTGATAAAATCAGGCATGTTAAAAATGATCAAATGTACAAACCTTGATGCAATCATCATAGCTTGGAGGTTGTTTAGGTGTCATCACATCAATGCCGTGATGAGCTAATGCATTCGAATAAAGACTGGCTGTATCATATTGTATAGGACTTGGCAAACTAGCGACTGGAGAATCTTCAGTGCTGAACACACCATCCGACGATAGTTGAATATCGGGCAAAACTGGCTGTGCATTTGTTTTCTTTGTTGATGTTGAAGTCTTTTTGGCCGTTGATTTACGTTTCAACGTTGTTTCATCGTCTGGACTGTTTGGATTATTGTTGTTATTTGATGCGGACGCTTTTTGTTGTTTCTTCTTTTGTGGTTTATTCTGTTTTCCACTGTTTGGAATAACGGTTGGTTGGCTAACCAATTGCGATTGGCATGGTGGTGAATTGACAACAGTGTTTTGCATAATTGGCATCATTTGAGGACTGCGTGGTACATGTTCGTCCAATAGTCGTACAATATCATTATGTTGTCGTTCGCATGCAACGTCACGCGGTGAACGATCCATGTGATCGGTAATTTCACGATTAGCAAAATTATCCAATAGAGCTTTACATGCTTCGAGTGATCCTTCGCGAGCGGCTAAAAACAGTGGTGTTTCATCTTTTTCATCTTGTGCATCACGATTGGCATGGTGCATTAGCAAAATATTCACAGCATCTACGTTATTAACGGCGGCGGCCCAATGCAGAGCCGTTTTACCACTATTATCGGCTGCATTTATGTCTGCTTCGGCCGTAATGAGATCTTCAACCATACCTTCGATAGCCAAACGTGCGGCCAAAATCAATGGAGTCGTTCCGTCATGCATTCGTGAGTTAAGGTTTGTGGCTCGATTACGCAATAGTATTTGGAATACACCAATAGCGTCAGCGGCAATTGCTGTATGCAATGGTGTACGGCCAGTAGCATCTTGACAATTTGCATCAGCTCCGGCGTCCAATAAACGTTTTGCTGCATCTGCACGTTGATAACGAGCCGATAGATGCAGTGACGTTTCACCAGTTTTATCCATTGTGGCATTCAATTCAGCGCCTTGTGCCAATAGTTCCGATATTGCTTGAACGGTGCTTTCATCTTCGTTTAGCTCACCCACCAAATCAACACCAACACCCTGTGAAGCGGCAACCATCAATGGTGTCATTCCACATGGACCACGTGCATCAACATCGTGCTTTTCATGGTGTGATGGTGGTGTCATAATCGATGCCGGAATACGAATGGCAGCTGCTTCAAAGTGTTGTTGGGTCCAGCATCTATTGTTTGGCTCTTCATAATCGGTAGATGTTGTATGATCGTATTCGTATCGGCCTCGCTTCGGTACTTGAGATTCATCGTCTGACCACTGATGTGAATGGCCCATTTGACCATTTGTACTGGCATCAATGCAAGCCAATGATGAGTTTTTATTCAGATTTCGCATTTCTTGGCCATCCGGTCCACGACGTTGTCCACTACGCGATGATGTTGTGAAAAATCCTTCTGGACGCCAAATTTGACCATAAGCTCGCTTTCGTTTCGCTGTAATCATAATACCGAGCAAGAAGCTTGCCAATATAATAGTGAATGCGCCCAATGCTACATATTTTCCATTAGCCGGTGGGCCCATGGGTTCATCTGGGCTATTTACACCGCGCACTTTGTAGAGTCTGAAATCTGGATTTGACATAACACGTGCACTGGCTCCAATGAAACCGGCCGCATCTTGTGCAGTCTCAAAACATTCCGCTCCCAAAATGGCTTGACAACGGCTATTATCGATTTCCATAAAGACTTGAATGGCTTTCTTCGAAAATGTTTGCATTTCATCGATATCACCATGCCATGAATAAATCATGTCGTTGCCCAAATTATCTTTTTTAATGCGTAAATTTGTTCTCAATTGATGGCCCATATCTCGCAAGAATTGAATCGAACGTTCTTTGAATTCTGATTCGCTCATTAAGAAAATCGCTGAAATCATGCCCGTAGCCAATTTTGGGGTGTTAAGTTTGTCACAATCCAATCCATCCCAATTACATTCAGCCGAATTACACATTTGGTCACAAACACCGTTTGCATAATTTTCAGCACAATAAGCGTCGAATGCACATGGTCTCAATCGCTTATCACAATCACGACCATCGAACAAGCAATGCTGATTGTTACACTCATCATTGCAAACACCATTTCCAAATACTTCCCAACAATTGACCGTTGTTGCCGTACAATTGGCCCATGGATTGACGCCAAGTGTACAATCATTGCCATCGAAGTCGCACGCATATGTATTACATTCTTCATCACATTTACGATTTCCTCTCTTTGAACCGCAACCTTTCTTATTACATTGTTCTCGTTGATGTTCCAAATCAAGTAACATTCCGCCACTTGGAATCCAGCCCTTGTATGATGGATCAAATTCGTTACATGTTTTTCCTGACCATTTTGCTGGGCAATAGCACATGAAATCGCCGAGTTTATTTTCGCAAGCAGCACCCCGTTTACATGGATTCGGATTACATTCATCGAATGTGTCGATTTCACAGTTTTCACCGCTTGTTCCAACTGGACAAATGCAACGATAGCCACCACCAATCACAACTTCACAGTTGCCAACAACACATGGACTTGCGTCACAATCATGGCCTGAATTTTCGCAGAATTTTCCATACCAGCCTTCCGAACACTCGCAATGATATCCACCAGCACGAGCCGAACACAATCCTCCGTTTTGGCAAGGCGCGGTCGCGCAAAAGTCGATTTTAATCTCGCAATGATGTCCCATATAGCCCGGTTTACAGTTGCAATGATAGTTATTAACCAATTGAATACAATCGAGTGTACCCTCGCTTGAGCAAGGATTCGACAAGCATTCGTTGATATCACCCTCACACCGTGATCCAACAAATCCAGGTGGACAAAGGCAATCGTAGCCGCCAACTTTATCGATACAAGTTCCATTGTTGTGACAGGCGCCAGAAACGCAATCATCGATATTCACTTCACAGTACATACCAAGTGTTCCCGGCGGGCATGAGCAACTACAACCATTGACAAGGTCATGGCATGTTCCACCGTTGCGGCAGGGCATCGGCCTATTAAATAAAAAGAAAATAAACAACATTAAAATTTAATCTCAAATTGGATTTATGAGTAATTTCAGTAAGAATCTAAGAATTTGATTTTCCATGAAAATCGACAAAATTTTGTACAAAATAAGTGCGTCTCAATGACAAATAACGGGGATTTTCGTCATGGTGTGAGTTTTTGCTTCACCACTTGTCAAATAAACTGCATCATTTCGCATCGAGTGGTCATTCGAGTTAGTCATTTGAGGAGAATGAGACATAAATCTCAAACGCTGCTACAGTTTGCGGACTGTTTGGTTAAGATATCTGAAATGTATCTAGATACTTTTGAGATAGTATCTCAATTTTCCGAAATTCATCTAGATATTTTCAAGATTTTCATCTTATCTTTTTGATAAAAGATAAGATATCTTTCGGAAAGATAAGATAAAAAAATAAGATAACGAAAATTATTTGAATAAAATTTTGAAAAAATGTCAAGGTGAAAAAAAGAATGTTAATTAATATCTGCTAAAAACAAACTTCACGCACTATGGATATTAATCGGTCGGAGTAATCGGGCCCATGAACCGTGCGTTGAAGTTGTCGGATTTGTTCTGCGAACACCGTGCGTAACACGATGGAATTCCAAATTCGATTTTATCTAAAAATCGTAGTTTTATACGCATTACTGTGCACTATTTATCGTCCTATCAGAGGGGATCGTTTGTTTTAGCTTTTCGACAGATAAATGGCAAACAATCATACGATGCTTTGACCAAAATACTTATAAAAGCCTTTAAAAATATGATCTGCCAGTGCACAAAATAAGCGATTCGAGTTTATGCCGTTTATGCAATACGAAGGTGAATTTCTCTAAATTTCTTGAATGCAATCAACCTGATTTCAATGAGCGTGCAATGGAATTTAATAACGAAGAATTCGAATATAATTTTGACGAATCGAGTCATGAAATTGATCATTTTCGCTTCAATGAACAAATTAATCATACCGACAATTGATGAAAGATAAGCCAAAAGATAAGATAAAGGTAAGATAATTTTTTAAGTTTCTAAAATCATCTAGATAAGATAAAAGATAGTATCTATCTTATCTTATCTTACTATCTCAAACGAGATAAGATATCTTAACCAAACACTGAGTTTGCGAAACCCAAAATAGTTCAATAAAGTAAGTAAACGATTATTTTTTTTACTTAAACGGTAATAAAAACTTGAGTTGGTCGTAAAAAACACATTTCTTCAATGCATTCTTTCGGTATGGATGGAAATTATTGTCATTTTAGTCTTTAATTTTTAATTCATCGATAATTCTAATATATTGATTGAAAATTGAAATAACCTGCAGTCGTCAATATTTAGTTCACAATTTTGTCCTTGGAATCCACGACGACAAATACATTGATAGAAACCAATTAAATCTTTGCATGTTCCTCCATTCTGGCATGGCTGCGATTCACATTCGTTGATTTCCTTTTGACAATACGATCCGGTGTAGCCCAAATGACAATGACATTTGTGCGAATTGCCAAAGTTTTCACATGTTCCATTGTTACACAATTCTTTTACATTGACACCCTTGCGAATGGCAGCATCTTTGCATGAAACCATTTCGACGTCACACAATTTTCCGGTCCAGCCTGATAAACAACTGCATTTATAAGTGTTTTCACGTTGTGAACAAGATGCGCCATTTTCACAAGGATTTTGTGAACACCAGTCAACATATTCCGTACAGTCTTTGCCAGTGAATCCATATGCACAATGACATGAATAGTCGTTATTGTGATCGGTACATGTTGCACCATTGCGGCAAGGCTGGGAATCGCATTTGTTTATTTTATATTGGCAATTCGATCCGGTATAACCAGCTGAGCACGAGCAATTGTACGAATTGATACCATCAATACAAGTTCCTTTGTTCATGCAACTACTTTCCGTACAATCTTCGTCGTTCGTCTGACAATTCATTCCCGAAAAACCAAGTGGGCATCGGCATGTGTATGAGTTTACATACTGATTGCATGTAGCCCCGTTACGGCAAGGATCTAAAAAGAATTGGCATTACATTCATTAGATTATTTGGCTTAAGTAGTTTTATTAGCAAATCGATTAATATCTTGTATGTAATTTATACTTACTTGATGCACATTCATCGATGTCGATTTCACAGTGTTTCCCTTCAAATCCATCCAAACACAAGCAAGTGAAGTCACCAATTCCGTCCAAACAAGTTCCACCGTTGGAGCATGGAAAAGAAGCGCAGTCGTCGGTATTGATGGTACAGTCTCTGCCTTCGTAACCTTCAGCGCACAAACATTGATATGAACCGGGTACATTTTTGCAAGTAGCTCCATTGCGGCAAGGCGATTGCAATGCACATTCGTTTATGTCTTGATCGCAAAGACGTCCGGTATAGCCGAGGGGGCAAGTACATGAGAAATCTTGATAATTCGAGCTAGGCGTACATTTTGCACCATTATGGCAACGATTTGGATGGATCGATTGATTTGGATGGCATGGGTCCATTTTGTAGTCACAATTTCTACCGGTGTATGGTATCTTGCAAACACATTTGTAGCCATTCACCAAATCGATACATGAACCCTGATTGCGACACGGCTGAGCAACGCAATCGTCGATGTTTGTTTCACAATTTTCACCAGTATAACCAGGCATACAGTTGCAAGTGTACGAATTCAAACCGTCGATACAAATGCCACCGTGTTGACAAGGGTCTGTTTGATTGAAATTATTAATATTATATTTTTACTCGTCAATTGATTGTTGAAAAATTGTGTGGCTCTGAATAATAATGACTTTAATTTTTTCAAGCCGTCTCCATCTTATGTAAATCCCATACAAAATATGATGCACTTTTAAGAATTCTCTGCTTAAAGTCAATATTATTCTCACCCATACAATTGGTTTTGACACTTACTTGAATCGCATTCATCTATATCTTTTTCGCATCGTTTTCCGCCATAGCCCGAAGGGCATTGACAAATGAATTGATTCACACCGTCTTCACAACGGCCGCCATTAACACAAGGATCTAAAGAATGTGACAAATTATTAGTTTTATTCTTGAGAATCCTGAAAAGAATCAATTTTTCGTTTTGCTATCTACTCACTTGATGCACATTCATCGACATCGCTTAAGCAACGAGCATCATAATAGCCTCTGGGACATTCACATTTGAAACCGTTGATCAAATCCATACAAACACCATTGTTTGCGCACGGATCTATAAGAAAATAACATTTAGCATATGCTTTTTTTAACCATCTTAAAAAGAATGAAGGGAATGAAACTTACTTGACGCGCATTCATCGATATTTATTTCACAATGTGCACCCGTAAAACCAGGAACACATTTACAAGTATATCTATTGATTCCATCGATGCATGTTGCTCCATTGCGACAAGGATCTATTGAAAAGATGCAATTATTTAATAAAAACCTCTTCAAATCTGCTTCGAATTTGCAAAAAAAACTTCGTTACTCACTTGAATGGCATTCGTTTACATTGACCTCACAATTTTCGCCAGATGTTCCCGGTTTACAACGACATCGATAACCACCAACGAGATCTTCGCAATGACCTTCAAATTGGCAAGGATCTAAAAATAAAATAATGAAAGAGATTAACACCATTTTCGTGTCCATGTCATTACGAAAGAATTTCAAAAATTCTGCATAACTTACTTGATTCGCATTCATTGATCTGGGTTTGACACAATTCGCCCGTATAGCCTGGATTGCATTGGCATGTAAATGAGTTGTCGCCGTCAATGCATGTACCACGGTAGCATGGTGATGATTGGCAATCGTTGATGTTCGTTTCGCATGAGAATCCAGTATAACCAGGAGGGCATTCGCACGTATAACTTGCGATCGAATCATGACAAATTCCATTGTTCCGGCACGGTTGAGACATGCAATCGTCGATATTGGTTTGACAACGAGATCCACTGAATCCAATCGGACAAACACACTTAAATCCATTTATCATATCCATACAACTGCCGCCATTCAAACATGGCGAGTTTTCGCATTCATTAATGTTGATTTCACATTGGGTTCCAGTAAAGCCTAAAGCAAAAAGTGAAAAAAATACATATATTCAGTATATAAATATCATCATAATTAGATGCGGATGAAATTTAAGAGGAATTTGTGTAAATTATTTATCGCAATAAAAAAAATGCACGGTAAGCATACACGATTCGCTCTAAGGCAAACGGGAGTAATACGGCAATTAAATGGCGGTAAATTGATCGGAAAAATATTTGCATATTAATGTGAATTATTTTCTTCATCTTCTTCTTCTTTTTTTAGTTAAAAAAACCCGCATTTCATTTCAATGAAAATAGAAAAAAAAGTTTACCTGGCATGCACACGCATCGGAATGTTCCTGGATCATCTAGGCAACTGCCATCGTTTTGGCATGGATGACTCTCGCATTCGTTAACATTGGTTTCACAGCGTGGTCCCGTAAAGCCTTGTGAACAATTGCACGCAAATGAACCGGGCGTATTGACACAAATACCATTATGTTCGCACGGTGATCCTTGAACGCATTCATCAATGTCTTCAGTACAATTGACTCCTTTATAGCCCGATGCACAGGAGCAAGTGTATGATCCATTGACTGGGCTTGTATCGCAAATAGCATCAGCATGACAAGGATTCGATGTACAAGCATCGTCCAAATGGCACAATAAACCTGTTTTGCCCGGAATACAACGACAATAAAAACTGCCAACACCATCGATACAGGTAGCGCCATTGAAACAGGCTGCATCAGCACAATCGTCAATATTCTCACTGCAATCAGGACCCGTCCATCCATTTACGCAAATACAAGAATAACCGCCATTCGTGTTTGTGCAAGTGGCACCATTTTGACAAACTGATGGCCGTGTAAGACACTCATCAATGTCATTCTCGCAATATTCGCCCGTATAATTTGGTGAACATTTACAACGATACGAATTTACGCCGTCAACACATTGTCCGCCGTTTTGACATAAATTTCCGGGACAATCGTCAATGTTTTGTTCGCAATTGACACCTTGAAAACCTGTATGGAAAGAAAAGAAAATATTTTTGTTTAGTTGAATGAAGACCAATAATCCCTTTGAAATTTGAATGATACGGTTTTATTTGAGCAAATTTAAATTATGTTAATCCAACGAAAAAAAGCCATAAAAATCAAAATCAAACAGTTGCTTTTGCCATTTATCTTTCGTCAATTTTTTTGTGCTCTACTCGAAATAAATTTGATTTGATTCAATATTTGACGATAACTCATCTGATTTCTTTAGAAGAACAACCATTAAGTCCACGAATTTATGTAGTTTTTTTATTTATGTGTGCTCACAGCTATAAAGAATGAATAAAATTCACAAAAATCGATAATCATAAATGTTCGGTTAGGTTTCAACAGTTTGTCATTTTTTGACTTGATTCGCCTAGCCGATTGTTCGGTGAATGTAGAAAAGCTCCAAAAGGTATAGCAAATTTCCGATGAAAAAAAAAAAACATGTAAGCATAGCCAATTTGTATACTCCATTCTCCCTTCTGAATCTGATCGAGTTTTTTCTCATCTAATCGCAGTGAGTACATGTGTGAAGTATTCGATCTCATGGTCTCATAAATAACAGAAAATTGTTGATTGAACGATGCGAAAAAATGAATGCATTTTTAAGAATGAAACGAAAGAAAAAAAATTATGAAAGAAAAGAAAACTAAATGCAACGAAAAGGGAAATACTTAGAAGGCGGAGGAGAAAAATGAAGAAGCAAATATGAAAAAAATGGAAAAAAGAAGAAATGAATCATTTGGTATTGTATGAATTGAGTTTATTTGAAACTATCACTGGTGAATGTGTGCATGCATGTGAGCGAATGGCATTGATGTGAGCGATTGGTTTGGCAAAGTGTATCATCCAAACCAATTTTCATGAATCGCGCGGTGTTGGTGTGTCTGTGTGTGCATTTCAAGTAGTTTTTTGATCGTGTTACAAACAGCGATATATTTTACCCTAGAACTCGAACAATGGTCATAAACACAGTCATGCAGATATGCGCATTTCTTTGTTGGTTGTGCATCAATGACGAGAGAGTAGAAGAGAGGCACTCTTCTTCGTGTATAACGTGAAATCCATCATCAATGTGCAGTTTTAAATCGAATAAAAAAACAGACACACACATACCCAAAATCTTTTGGTGTGCAATGAACATAGAGCGTAGAGGAGATGGACGCAGAGACGTGAGTGCGCGTACAATCGCGACGATTAAACACAACACACAGCACAGAGTAAGCATACTCTCGGTTCTGTTCGATTGAGGAACAAAACACCAACCAATCTTGGTCCGTCGGAATATATGTATATGCAACCGAATATGACGAAGAATATGTGTAGAAAAACCAAAAAAAAAATAAAGAAGAAACTCGAAAACGAAGAAGAGAAGAGAAAGAGCCATGGAAGTGGAAAGCGATATTGCCATCGTTCCCACGGTTCGGTACCATTGTAAATGTGTTGGTGAGGCACAGTTGTGTGTTGTGTTATGTTGTTTATTCATTTAATATATGAATATTACGATCATACACGTATTAGTTCAGTATCTTTCTGCTTTTCTGTGCCGTTTTTTGATCATTTTTTTCCTCGTTCGTTTGTTTTTTTCTTCGTCTACTTCACTTTGGCTTGTTGTTTTTTTCTTCGTTTCTGTCTTTGATTCGCTTCTTTATATGTGGATACACATAAAACATTTCCACATACATACATATTACATTTTATTTCACATTCTCTCTATGCGCATTGTGTACAAATTGTGTATAGATATGGTACAAGTATGTAATACAAAAGATTGTTTTAGTCGGTTGAAAGCATAAAGGAAGTCTGCTATTCACAGAATAGCCAAAAATATACTTAAAAAAAAGCGAATTGATGACGCAAACAAGGAACAGAAAAACACTTTCCGTCCCTTTTTCGATTGGGCACCTTATGTTGTTGCCACTATACTTTAAAATGTTTCACATTTCTGCCTGAACTATGACTTCGTCATTTTCACCGGTCATTTAAAATATTTTTATGATCTTAAATAGTGCGTGAATACTGGCCAAACAATTATAAGTGTTTATTGTAAAATTGAAGCAAATTCTTCTAAAAAATTAAATGAATCACACTTATTTGAGTCGAATAAATTCTCGATATGTGTCGATCATTTTTGAAATAATATTTTTGCCACTCTCGCTTTCAGACTTGTGAATCATCCAAATTATGGTCCATAATAATAATGCTGCGGTAAATGACAATTTTGACGAAAAAAAAGTTTCGAATACTATATGTGTGCCTTCTACAGCAAATTAGGAGAAAATAATAATTGCGATGCATGCTACATCAGCAGCATCAATTACGATCCATTCACATGTCTGTAATACTGAAATCCTTTCTGACGGTAAGCTGTTTCGATTATTCTTGAGTATCGAAAATGCACCTATTTATGAAAATACATTGCAATAACAGAAGTAGCAGCAGCGATATCACAGCATTCAAAATATGCACTTTTGATCCCATATAATTAAAATGTGCTCAATGCCGTTGTTCGTGTTCGGTTTGCATTCAACCGAACTAATTTCGTACTTCGTCGTAGTCATGACACTATGTGATTATTTAGGTTTCTGCTTTTTTTTTGTGAATTTACTTTGCTGTCGAGTGTTTCATTCACTGTGTTGCCTTTCGCTCTCTTTTCGTCTCTTTTCCACTCTCGGATGTTGTTATTAATGCATAAGATTCATTAATGCAATGGCACGCAACGATTTGGTTGCATATAGCCCATGTGTCGTGTTTACATAGGTATTGGTGAATGTACATTTCCAAAAAGTGCATTTTATTTATACTTATTTGGTACGTTTTCTCTTGTATGCACAGATTTGCCCAAGGGATATGTTATTTATTTACTTATATTGTATGTGGTGACATCGTCAAAAGATTTGACTCAAAACCGAGAAACTACCAAAAACGAAGATAATGTATAAAAATGGTGAATCGATTATCGAACATAACCGAAATACGGATGTTATTAGGTTATTTTTATATTATTCACTCAGTTCTACGTCGTTCTCGTTGTCCTTAATGTGGCTGACATTAAGTATGTAGCCTTTTGCAAATGTGCATAAACGGTTTTCCTCTTTCGTCACGTTTCGTAATATCATAACAACTGAAAACAATAACCGCAAACTGATATTAAATAGCCATAACATGCAAGTGTGTGACCTGATTTTTGTACAAGAGGAGAGAATTCAATCATTGCGATTGCGATCAGAAATTGAAAGGGTTTCACTCATCCCATGGCGGAAGCAAAATATCTACAATGCTGACGCAGTATGACCACAGAGTACTTAAATTCACACACTCAAAATGCGTTGAATTTGGAGTCCGTCTGGCCGCTCCATAAAATGCATTCAACAAATCACAAAACACTTTCTGATTTATGGCCACTTGGTGGATCGAAACAATACACACTGTGAATGGACAACATTTTATTGCTTCTTAGAATTACATGCGCGCGTTACTTTGTTTGAACGCAACCAATATATATATTTTATGCAAATTTTGTGCGTGCTTTTTGTTAAATAACTCGAATTTGGCGTATACTTAGCAACAAAGTGGACACATTTTTTATTTTACGCTTAGAACTTGAATATGCGAATACAATCGCAATTTTTTTATGCACAAAACGGGGTAAAACAGCATTTATAAATTGATAATGTCACATGAAAGTTTACGAGCTTCGTTTTATTTCAGGATGTCTGAAAGTGATTTTGAAAGTTGTATTATTTTGAAAGCGAATGCAATTTAATGTTCATCCGGAGAATGTGTTTAAACACACGAGAACATGATTTTTTTTTTCATTTTTTTGGTGACGCTCTTTGAAACTAAAGACACACGACTATCTTTTCATTTTTAAGTGAACGAATGACTATTATTCAAATGTAATAATGTTGAAATAAAAAAAATTAATGAATTCATCGAAAATTGAAAGACGAAAAAATGTTTCATAGTGTCAATCGATCTTTGTTGCGCTAACAATTGCACATGAGGTGCGTCGTGTGTTTCCATTAGAAGTGCCGAATTCATTTTTCACTTAAACATAAATGTTGTTTGTTTTCATTTGAATGGAACTTGTTTTTCATCTTTTTTTGTCTACTTCGTTCGTTATTGGAATGTGATGACAGTTAAACAAATGAATGAAAACGCTTCTTTGTAACAAAAGAAGAAAAGAAAAGATACCTCTCATTCGTGTTGCACGATTTGCTTTGCGGTTCGTCTTTATTTTGTTCAAATTCAAAATCATCAGTATGTATGCTATAGTATAGAAGTGGCAATTTATGGAAAATGCCGAAAATATGTAACTTTGGCCGAATAGGTCGTCGTGTAGAGTGGATGGCATGGCATTCAATTTGAACCGTATGACACTTGAAAATGATATTCACACTCGCTTCGGCTTTCAACTGGCGCGCACACGATTAATTAACCAGGAAAATAATTGTTGTGATGAAAAGTATTTACTATCGAAAACCATTGATTGTGTGAGCGATCTGCTGAGCTTATGAACGAGCGAGAATTTCAAGTGATCTTGTCTTGAATGAAAACAACGGGAATGGAATAAAGCAAATTGTTCGATGATTTTAACGAGCCAAGAGTACACACACTCGCTGTGTGTTTATGTGTATTTGACAGTCTAACTGGCTGGCTGGCTGGATGGTTGGCGCATTTTTAATCTGTGCAAATTTGAAAGTATAAACACGTTTTTTTCGAATCGTTTACAACCAATTATATTAGACGAAATCAGCGAATTTCTATGCGCGATCACTTCGATTCAAAAATTGGCAATAAGGAAACTGAATAAGAGAGAAGGCACACGAAAGACACAGCCATATCGATACATCCATTAATCATTGTGGTTCAATTGCCTCGACTCAATATTGTCTCTAGCATCGTTTATTTATATGTATAGCAAGAAAAAAAACACTTCGTTTGATTGGATTGAATGATCGACGACGCGCAAAACCAAAACAAGTGAAATGAAAAACAAGCGCTAAATTAATCAAAATGACGAAGAATAGAAAGGAAAAAAGCCAAAATACGAGAAGAAAAAAAATCAGAAAAACACTAGATAAGTACGGAACACATTAGCACATTCAGTTCAATTCTGATAGAAAAAAGTATATAATTATCAGCAAGAAGAGAGAAAAATTGTCAGACAATCCGTGAAAAAAAATCTAGCGAGAATTGCATGTAAAAGTCGACTCGAATTGCCAACTAAAGCAGATTTAATGTGTTCATTTCTATTTTTTTCATTGGTGGTTCTAAGCGCGCAGCACATTGCATTGGGATTGCATTCGCTTGAGTATGTGTGAGTTTTCATTGTTCCTGATATATTCTTCGTTTTTTTTTTCTTACCGCATTTCTGTTGTTGTTGCGAAAACAGAAACAGCCAAAGACGGATTATTATCATTACAAATTAGCTGCACTTGGGTGATCACCAATCACATGTACACATCATTCAATTGTTTCGGGCAATAGATGCGCACTCTCTTGACTCTGTCTCTTCATTCTCTCGTAATAGCAAAGTGTAAATTCTTGCAGGGCACATTGCATGTTAAGCCGGCTCTCAACATAAATCAGACGTGTCTTTGCATCAGTTTCAATCATTTATTTCCCATCAAGTAACAAGACGAACAAAAAAGAAATAGAGGAAAAAAGTGCGCAATTTTGCATATGCGATACTTTGCTTGTTTAACACAATGTTGCGAAGTGTGAGATAATTTGATTTTATGTTGACGCAAAATAGTTTTCATTAGACGCTGCTTATTAACTTATTATGTGCAGAATTGGATGTGACTTCGTCTTTGTTGCGGAACCGAACCAATGATATCGATATCGACAAATGGAATTTCGAAAGAAAGAACAAAAAAACCGATTGAATGTGCATCAAATATTTCCATGAACATTTATTGAATTCCATTCATTTCAACCGCTGTAATGAAAAATGACATTGATGACCATCTGACTTCGTCATACGTAATTACGATTACTACATTATCATACTGTCGAAGAGAATCGTCCACGGATGAATGGTTGATTGGAAAAATACAACGATTTGGTTTCTTTTAAACCAATTTCATATTACTCTATCATCGGGATTATGCAAGAAATGCAAATCGTGTAATTGATATACGATGGGAAAAATCGAATTATTATTATTGAATTCACTCAAAAGAAAAAATCAAATTGATATGATGTAATGAGAGATAAAAATGTGGTTTTTGGTCATCCGAATTCGATATGAATGCATTTTGCAGAACGATTCTAATCCATGCTGAAGACAGGCAAAAGAAAAAATCGCGTTAATTCGGAAATAAGCGGTTTTTTCTAGATGACGTTGTTTTTCTCAGACTTTCTGTTGATTAAACTTCAATGATTACTTTAGTGGAGAGCAAATAATACGAGTCATTATGCGAATCAAAGGCCGCTTTGTGCCTGCCATCAGTACAATGGCTCGAATAACATACGGTGTTGTTATGCTCGGGAAAAAAATGAAATGATAGAACAAAACCGAACTCAAAATCCGTGATCACCCCGGGCCAATAATTGAACTATTTTTTACCTCCTCCTTCTCCCTCTCCGGCATTCGATACATATATTCCATTGGCTCCTTTTGCGTTTCTCTTTTCTGCATATTTTATGTCGTCTTATGCATTATAACAATAACAATCAAAGTGTTTATGCACTCGTGCGATTTTCTCTTTGTTATAAATATCGACATTCATTGCGCTGGCGAATATGGATACCATGCATGCTTCACCGATATGTGTACGTCGATGAAGTCCAATCAAAATTCAGCTCGACATTCAAAATAGGCGAATTGAGTGAATGAACAAGAAGACCATAATAATCACTGTTTCGATGTCGATACATTTGACGCCGTACCATGTGCATTCGATGCAAATGTGATCTATCTTTCTCTCTTTCCCTTTTTGCGTTCGCGTTCTAATATGATATTCTGTTATGTGACTTATTTGAATTTGAATTCCTTATTGAACCTCGTGATTGTTTCGGTCGTGGAATATCACTGATTTAACGAAAGCCTCGTCGAGTGTTCTTTTTTTTTCGGGTTAAAGTCAATATGCAAGAAAGAAATAAAACAGTCTGTTTAGTACATATCGCGAATTTTGCTCGATTTAAAACGCAAATCGATGCTCATGCTGTTCACCACAATTTTAAAAAACCACAAGACTTAAATCGTTCTCCATGTTCAATTAACCTATGCATTACAATTTTGGGCACAAATCGTTACTACAGCATAATTTATTTATTTTTTGTGTCTATTACGGTACTTCGATCAAACTGATGCCAATAAAATGCAACAATTTGTTTGTTGTAAATATTTTGCGAATTCAGTTTCAGCCCCAAGCAAATACTTTTTTTTCGGCGAAGGTATGCCTTTGCCTATCTTGTTAAAATTGAATTTTCATAGACGACAGACACGAGACGAGACGAGAAAAAACAACGATGATAGTTGCAAATTTAATTGATTTTTATTGATGCATAATATGTGGCGCATAAGATATGTGACTGTTTGGATGCTGCTGCCGCTGCTACTGATGCTGTGCTTGTCAATGCAAATGAGACCTGATGACAAACAACTTTAATTTGATGTAACTATTTTAATGAACCAAACTCAAATTATGCAAAGTAGCAGTGTATTGCGGTTGTGAAAGGGCCTTTTCATTCAATTTACCATTCGCTCAGTGAAAATGACGGAAAAGATTTTTTTTTTGAAACTTAATGCACTTTTAATGAATTACTTTTAAGCCATAAACTTCGATGTCTTTATTTTTTTTTCTGTTGAATTGAAGTTCATCATCTCTAGTTTTCCGGTGGCTCTTTGCGATGTTAATGACGGGTTTTTCGATGATGTGATACGAAATGGATCGAAATCAAGACGAAGAAATGGTAGATCATCCGATTTAATGTGTGTTCACAGCTAACGCGCGATCGGTGTGCCTAAGTTGGTGTCATTACCATTTTTTGTTCACGTTATGCCAGCCAGTATTTATAGCGATCAAACTAGAAACTATTTATCTTTTTTGTTCCGTATTTTAAGTCATTAATTTTAAGCAAAAAGCAAACTGTCCAATTGAAATGTTTACCCCAGTGCAGTTCCCGAAATTCAAACCAATTCTATTGCGACCAGTTATCTAATCGTCGAATGTAAAACGCAACAGAATTAAAACTCATTTAATGCCGTGTGTTGTGTATATGTTAATCACTCTTCATCGGAGAAAAAAAATACGGTGAAAAATAAAGTGATCGCCACGAAACAGTCTAAATGCATGTGCTTAATCAGCAGCAGCAGCAGCAGAGCAACACAGAACTAGAGCCCAAGCATACCATCTATAATTTAGTTGTAATTATCTGTTCACTTTTCAGACTTTTCCATTATAGTGTATGTGTTGGGTCGCTGACTGTGTGTTTTTTTCGTTCGTTCGCATTCATTCATCGTATTTTGTTATCCATATGTGTACAACGCCAACTTCTTCATGTTATTATGTTATTATTACACATCTCGAAAGTATTTTTTGATTAGATTTTAGTCGTCATTTGTGCTTCTTTTTTTCGAGTTAAGACATTACCCAACCGAACATCAATTTGAGGGCTCCACTTGGTTTTTCGCATATCGCGAACGTTTGCGCGCGCGTACATTAAAGTTCATTGGATTTTGATGTGTTCTTTCGTTTCGTGCGTACGTTTGTTTTCAAAATGTTCTTGCGGGGCAAAAAAAGCGGATAAAAATGGTGGCAGAAAACACTGAATGCGCAGAATGGATTTATTCTACAATTTAATTGGTAAAAAATTAAGTCGTTTTTTTCTCTCTTCTGCATGAGACGATTTCAAACTAAAATGTGCTAATTAAATCTTGCGTGAAAAAACGTTGGCAATGGAATCATCATTTGGAAGCGATCAAATCGAAATTATAAACAGTGGCTTTATATTCTTCAGATGTAACCGCCGATTCGAATGTTAGTACAGTTTTTGTTTGAGATACGAATGAAAATCGAACGCGATGCCGTTGAAATGTTTGATTTTAATTGATTTTTGTAGCTTTTTAATGGTCGTTTTTCTTCACACGACATTTCCAATTAAGACTATAAAAACATGTTGAACATAATTTGAAAAATGAATAAAAATGACGGTGGTGTTTGCACTTACCTGGTGGGCATTTACATTCGTAGGCATAGTGGCCTAGTGATTTGCATGTACCTCCATTTTGGCATGGCGACGGTGCACATGGAATATACTTTGACTCACAATTTTTTCCGGTGTATCCAGCTACGCAAGAACATCTGCAATAAATAAGAAGATTCATTTTATTAAACAAAGTGATCATATGATTTGGATTTCTCTCTCTCTCTCTCTGTGTGTGTCATTGAGATTTATGCAAAGAAAATCTCATAATCGGTCAAATACATGAACAAAATGAAAATACATAAACCACAAAACAAAACCAAATAATTTATAAAGTTCAATTCATTTTCATCTAGTTTTGGCTGCATCACGTTTCTATTGTATGCAATTTAGAAATCGAATAAAATGATCATAAAATTTGCTTTCCATTTGCACAGTGCAAAAAGAGACGTCAAAATTGGCTGAATTACGGCACAATTGCAACGGATTACGAGGTGAGAAATCGTAGCAGCGACATTGCTATAAACCATCCAAATCTAAATATATGTGTACTTGGGTGTGTGTGTGTGTGCTAACCATAGCTATTTATTAAGTCTGTTTCTCAATTAATGTGTGCTTTTGTGCACAATGGTTTCCTCGTTGGCGCGCGAGTTCGAAACTACAGTTCAGCCAAATCGTGTGGTGCAAAGCAAGACCAAAAAACCAATCTTGATATGAATATTTATTGGATTGCCATAAATTGAACTGTTATTAGCGACCAAATGCACAGAGAAAGTGATCCATCTAATGTGCTGTGAGCAATGTGCAAGCACTCAAGCGGAAATTTTGTTTTTATTTCATTTCGTTTCAAACAATTCGGGCCATTTTTAAAAGGTTGTTTGTTTGGAAATTTATCACTTTGACTTCAGCCAAATTATTATTACATTCAGACGAGTAAGCATTGTGGTAAATGTCTTTTGTTTTCACTTGCCAAATCAAACCGATTCAAAGTTCATCTGAATATAAACAAATTCATTTAATTTCGATTCGTAAAAATTATAGATTTTTCACTATAGGTTTTGCTCTTGTTTCTTTGTGAACTATGAATGCATTTGAATAGAAGAGGGAAAAAACGTATTCGATTGCGAAATCCGTTATGATTGCCTTCGGTGCAAACGTGAGCATAAGCCAGATGATAGAACAAATTAGTCGATTTCTCAGCATTTGCTCATTCAAAGGGAGGAAACGAATCAATAACGTCAGTGAAGAGTGTAATTTCTCTAATTCCACAGAATTTTATTTATTCTATTCGGTTCATTTTGAATGGAAAAGAATTCGAAAATTGCAAAAAAAAGGTTAACCACTAAATCACAATTCAACCTAGAATGATAGTAAATTTCGTCTGAAATTTATCATTGACTGAAAGGAAATTGGAAGATGTTATACTTGCTAGAATCGATGTAAAAAAAGTGATAATCGAATGGCATATTTCTTTATGCGATAATTTCAGGTTTCAGGATATTGCTTTTGGCGGAGATTGGCCAAAAAATCATTTCCAATAAATACAAACAGATCGTAAGCCTATCATTTTCATTCGAAAGATTTATTATCTTGATTTTTTTTTGTTCAACCTGTGCGATGCATGCATTGGTTTGCACGTACGTTCCGGTCTGCTTCAATTACCAGCGGTTTTGTTAATTTCTGTGATTGAATCGTGGATAAATGTGTGTAACGATGGCCAATTGCGATTAACGAAATCAAAATGAGCGAGAGGGAGTTTTTTTCCCATAAATGTTTGCCAATTCGATAAAATGGAAGCGATTTAATGGTTCAAGTTGCTCATTTTGCTCACTGGCGTGCATACATTCATAACATTTGTCGTTGACTTCGTCGTGCCTGACCTTTTCCTATTTTGTCAACTTTTGTAGCAACCGCTTGACATGTCACATTTTATCGATCGGCATGCAATTTACAATATTAAGTCCCATAATTATTTCAAATCTTGGGAAATGTACAACAAAAACGGGGTGAAAGCAAAACAAACGCAAAACAATTTACGGCCAAACATGGCAGCACACATATGCGACAATTTTGTATCGCACTGAAGTAGAGTGAGAGAGAAAGATAGAGAGAGCAAGAAAAATGTCTGTATCATCAGTAGAAAATCATTTAAAGTAGTAATAAACACGGCTTTTAACAAATAATCCAAAAGATAACGGCGTTGCAATGACTGCAATTTTAGCATCGATAAACTAGCATTGAACATGATTCATTTTCAAATACATGAATCAAACAACAAGAGGAAAAAAAAGTACGACGACAACAGCAGCAACAGCAACAACAGACGTCTTGGAAATATATGGTTCGAACAAGTGAACACGTTTTAATCGTCAGCAAGTTATCGCACGTTCATTTCCACTAGTCTTTTTTTTCTCTATTTTTCAACATAATCGAGAGCGCACAAAATCGAATGGAACAGGAAAACTAGAGAAAAATAAAAATCTACATTGGTTCATCTCAATGTGTTCCATATCAATTTCAATCCACGACTCTTTTTTCTTCTATGTGCACAATTTTTTTTTTTTTGCTTCATTCAATCTTTTTGGAATGGTTTTACCTTTAATGGTAAAGTCAATTTGAGCTACAATAGTTGCTACTGCAAACGGCAAGTGAGCTGCATTGATCATTTCTATCACGAAACCACCACTGCAAAATATATCCCAAGAGCCGAAAACTAACCATATCGAGAGATCAATTTAAAATGTTTTTTTTTTTTATGTTTCCTATCCGATCACTATTTTTGCTCCACTGTACCATGATTCACTGTCCTGTCCACACAATGTTTGTGTTAGAATGATTCTGTTCGCAGATGGAGTTTATCAGACTAAAAATGTCATTAAAATTCATAGTGGCGAGTGTGTTTAATATTGAGAGGATGGCAAAAAAAGGAGATGAGCTCCACAGTTGCTTGGGCGCGCGATTTTGTTTCATACATGTATGTGACACAAGCGAAATATGTGATGCAAAAGCGATACTTCAATTAACATATAGGGAGCATAATTTAGATGCATTTTGAGTTGTGAGTTGTGCGCGCGCGCGCTCATCATTGTTATTGTTAAGAGCGAGAATTGTCATCGTTTTCGATTGGGATGTGCATTGTGATCGCATGACCAAAGTTAAATGCTAAACAAACGGTTTCGCGCACACATACATCGTCAACGGTGTACAAATATTGGCAAACAAGGGAATAAATAAATAAAATATTGGAATTTGCTGCGAAAATAAACAATGCCAATGCTTGATCAATTCCAATCCGATGTTTGGTATTTGATCGTGGTGCTGCCGTTGCTGCTGTTTCGATGAATTTTATTGTGTCGTTACAATCGATCTTTTTCGGCTTATCCGCGCGACAGTACTCCTGAAGCCACAAAACAAGTAAATGCAATTTAAATCCAACCGTTGTGATCATCGTGCTATTTTTGTGCTGTTACTGTATGCATTTTTTTTGCTTTCTTTTGTATCGTACAGCACATGTGAAAATAATAATAAACATCATCGCGACAAGAAGACAATGCTCGCCTTCGAATCTTTTGTTTAATTCATAGCGTTCCCTCATCGTCGTAGTGGGTTTGTTGTTGTCGTCGTCGTTTACATATTTTTATATTTCATCATCATGTTTTATCGATATTTTCTTTCGTCGAATCGTGGATTTCATTGAATTGAGCGTGAGCGTGCGAGTGCGCGACTGAGCATTGCCAACCTGTTTATGCACAGTACAGTAGCTTGCAATTTGGCCCTTTTTCGTTAAAAAAATAATGTTGGTCGCGTAGTTTTGTATAACGTTGGGTAAGTGGACGACATAATTGAATTGGATAGTTTAATGGATAAATGCATGTCGAGTAGATGCTTCGTTCTCATTATAAAGCCGATCTCATCATTATTGCATCATTATCGAAATGGAACGCGAAGCGCATGGCTCTCTTGGTCGCTGTGTCTTTAGCTCGTCCGCATTGAATTCAGTTGCAGATATCAACCGTAGTTTATAGATGCCGTAGCGACAGAATTCAAGTATCAGCACAACTCTAGAAAATGATAAGTAAAATGATGCAAACGGTGCACGAGAATCGAGAAGAGCATTGGCAAACAGTCAATTGCAATGTGATACAAGACACCGGGAGCAAGCGGGAGAAAGAGAATAAAAAAGTCGTGATGTAACTTTCTTTTTCGTTTTTCATCATTTGACTCTATATATGAGATATTCCATTTTAAATAGCATTTCGGTAGCGAATCATCATTAAAATCTAAACCTATATATTTAAAAGCGTCGACGACAATAACAACCAGAGCGATTTAACGGCAGCTACTGGTCTTATTTTCCATGCTACTTCAGCTACCCGCTCCAGAGCGATGCATCTAATGGCTATAATCGACATTTCAAATCGATAACCAAGCGCGCAAATCGTGTGCATGGATATCAGTTTGTTTTTTCTCTTCTGGTGCTACTGCTGCCGCTCGAGCCGCAGTGGGATCTCATTCTCTGTACTATGACATTCAATGGCGATCAAATTGTCATTGTTGTCAAAACATTATAAATGGCGCAGCATTTTTTTTATTCTTCTCCAATCCAATGTGGATTGTTGTTGTTTTTTCTGCGCTAATTAAACGCTTTTAATGCAAAATGAATGAGAATCTATTCATCGGCCAATTGATAGTTTGCCTTTTAATTCCCAAAATGTATAATTAGAGCCAAGTCTAATGGCACGAGCTGCTAAACACTATGCTTTTTTGCGCTCTCAAACGTACCGACGAAGAACATAAAACGAAATAATGAGTCAGTGGCAATGACGCGCGATATTATTTGATATTTTCGTAGCCATATTCGCAATTGAATGGCACCTGTCAAAAGTACGCGATACAATTCATTGTGCCATTAAAATGTAAAATCAATTATGGACCGATTTGGAATCAAAATGCACTTTAATCGTAATTGAAATGCTTCGATGATGAATAAAATGCAATTATTCGCTTTTAGCACGAACATCAAAATGAAGTTGAGCGTGTCGCGGCAAAAAGAAATATACGAATCAATATGACTTTGCCGAACGAATTTGCAAGTATTTTTCTTCAATACGGGGATTTATCAACCAAATGATCTTCGTGTTCTGTTCATTCTACATCAAATCGATGTTGCAACGTGGAGTTGCAATGAAAATGAGGATTTAAACAAACAAAAAAAAATGTGAATCAACTCGAAAATTATTATCATTATTGCTGTTGTGATCAGTATGTGAAAAGTGAATGCGAACAATGTCTGCAAATGCATGTTCATGTGCAACAACATCTGCACCACAACATGTACCGCACTTTTGCTAGTTGCCTTTTTTCTCTCTATTTTTCCCGTGGCTTGGAATACAATGCAATAAAGATAGTAAAATTACAAATAAAATTAATTAATTAATTGATCCCACGCTATGTATTTGTGGCTTGTAAGCAGCGTCACTTCAATTGTTGCGGCAATTCCACACTGTTGTGTGCATTTTTTTTTTGCAATGAACATTTACTATGTGTATGTGTGTATTTGATGCCGTAATTGGAGCAAATTAACATGGAAAAGAATTACAAGCAATATTCTGTAACTCGGTTACACTGAAAATGAAACTCAAACACGACAAAAATATCACATTTGAATAGAAAAAATAAAGGAATTTTTCCATTTTGATTATAACGCTGCAGCGCCAGCAGCTCAATGCTTGCAAGCCATGGCAATTGTAACACATTGTGTCAATAGATTCAATCTTCAAAATTATGTGGGACACAAGTCAAATAGTGTGATTGGTTGGGCGCTATTCGCGGCAGATCGAATTCGCGTTGGTGCATTTGTCAACTGGAATTGTTTGTACGTGAACTAAAAACACTTGACCAATTGACCAAACCAATTCAATTACATCGATCCCATTTATTTTTCTTTGTGTGTGTTTTTTTTCACACTGTTCATTGAATATCTCTTTATTTGCAATACGTACCGTTTGCATTTCGTCGCACGTCAACTTTTAATCTATTAGAAGTCAATTAACTGACAAGGCTATCGTTTTACCAGATCTCTTTTACTTTTTGCGCCGCGTGACTACTGCCATCGTTGGCAGTTGAAAGGTAAAAAAGACGAAACCAAGAAGTTTTTGCCCGATTGAAATTGGTTGCGTTTGTTTTTGTTAAAAGTAAACAAACAAAAATGCAACATTTTGCAGTAATTTCGTAATTTCAAAATATTTTCATCGTGATAAGTTTGATTTGATATGGCGAAGACAGATTGGCCGTGTCAGTGCGGAGAACATTGATTGAGACGAATCTAGATTTTGCAATGTGCCGTTTCCTGCTTACACAAAACACTAATCACCGTCACATCAAGCCATCACATACAATCACGTCAACCGTGCACTTGATGATGAAGAAGGAAAAAAAAATCCGTCATTCATGATGTAAATGGCTTAATGGCTTCACGCTTTGACTTGAAAAGGGATAGAAAAGTCATCTTAAATGTGCATATCTGAGAAATGATGAATCATGGATTCACTTTACTTGATTGGCGGATGCATAGGATTTTTCTCGTTCTCTTTTTTTCCATCGACATCATACGCAGAAAGTAGATTCAGGATTCCAATCCCATTTTAAGTGCAGTATAGTTCTTAATTTGGAACGAAGCAACGAAAGTATCAAGAAACATAAGTATATTTTCCATGGGTGCCATTTGAAATGGTTAATTGAAAACGAAAGAATGAAATAACAATAAAAAAAATTAGTGGCAGCGGTCTCAATTGATGATGTGCGTGTATACGTATAAAATCAGTAGCCACGAACGAAAACGGAAATGATTAAAGACTTGCCCAAAAGGGTAAATAAGTAGAAAAAAAAACGCATTGATGATTATTCTTATAAAAGGAATAATCACGCGGTGATATTGGACTGCATCCACGTCATTAAGTCAAACAAAAACCTCGCGTCTCAAGACAAAAAGTCAAACGACTAAGCTCATCAGCTACCGAATCCTCTTAGTGCAACAAAATTATGAACGATTAAAAAACCATCGCGAAACTATTTTTCTAAATGCGAAAACAAAAACAAAGTTCGTCTGACAAAATACGGCCGGTATAATGAACGGATTGAATAAGCGTTTGCAATTTAGTGTGCAACATATGAAAATCGAAGAAAATGGCAATAAAGCTAAGCTATGGCTGTGGGCTAACAAGTAGCCACGATCACCGGTGTAACAATACTAAAAATTGATTTTGTTAAATTATTGTAATTACATGAGTGATGATATGAGGAGTTGGTTGCATGGGCCAACCGCGTGCATTCATTCGAGATAAAAAAAAATGTGCGCGCCATTGCAAAATTACCAAAGCTCATCTCTTCAGCGCGCACACACACACACGATCACAAATCTAATTTAGATGGTCGTAACAGCGTGGCCGCACAAACTGTGTGTGTGTGTGTACAAGAGTGCAAAGAGTAGTAGTTGAATAATGCCATAATTGCATTGTGCATTCTCGACCACTAGCTCTCTTTTTTCTGGAATGCTTACGTTTTCTTCTGATAACTCATTTTTTTTCTCGCTTCATTCTGTGCTTTGTTTTACTTTTTAAAATTTCTTTGATGGTTTTTACGGGCATATGCATCTTGCCGCAGCATCATTCGCATGTGAAGATTTTATGGGTTTTGCTTGATCATCGTTCGGTGGTTTTAAGACATTGTCGACAGAGTCTTTTTTGCATTTGAAGATGGCAAAAGTACCATTTAGCCATGAAGTGAATTCTCGATGGACCCTCATTGCAAACCGCATTTTCACTGTACGATAAATTTTGTCGTTGATGCGATGGTATGCATTTTGTGTTCCATTTAAGGTTCTGACCAACAGAATAGAGGCATACACTTAAGAGAAAAAATGGTACGAACTGTGAACATCATGCGCATACAAAGAGCATAACGCATCAGTCGAATAGCACATAAATTGTTATAATCAACGGAGATGAACAAAAAAAAAAAAAAACAAAACAGAAACACATCAATGTTGATGATGATGTTGGCGATGATAATAATAATAAAAGAAAACAGAGAAAGAAAAAAAAATCCAATCCAAAAAATGAATCAAGACAAAAAATTCCACATAATTTCTACCTGTAACTTATTTGTCTACCTCTTTTCTTCAAATGGGATCTTTGCCCGAACAAATATTGAAAGCACAAAAAGGCACTGGAATTGAAAGATGATGGCCAATCAAAAGCAAAAAAACCGTGTGCCACGATCACATATATTTTTTTTTTTTTGTTAAACGAACACTATTGTTCTAGTAGCAAGATTTGGTCGACATTTTCGTGTGTTTGTTCGTGACTCTCGCACGTCTCAAAGCGAGATCGTAAAGCATAAATGGTATAAATAATTTCGGCATTTTTTGTACGTGTTCGAGGTTTTTTGTGTCCTTTCCGAAATTGAGCGCGTGTTTGAACGCCGTTGACGACTACGACACTCTTTGAAGAAAAAAAAAATCTCACTCTCTAATCAAACAGAGCGATCAGCATTGAAACGATGAAATGCGCATTTTTCGTTTGTCGACTGGCCAGTATTTCTTCGAAATGGTTTGTGTCATTAATGCTAAGACCGAATACGTTGTATGGATGGAACGCATATTAAACGCAATGGGATCTTCTTCAAGTTTATACAGTTCAAGGGATCGTTTTTCGTTGAGAATCAAATGCGATTTACTCCATCATAATAATGATCTATCATCAAAATCAGCAATTTCATCGTTCAGAAATGGACGAATAAGCGAGTGTGAGAGAGAAAGAGGAAATCAAATCAAAAAAGCAATATTCTCAGTTGAATAACACAACGAGATCCATTAAAGGTGAACTATTTTGTTGAATGTACTGTGACCATATGCGGAATGGAAAAATCGGCGATGATAAAACTAGTTTATGAGCATTATCGTAACTTTGACGTGGATAGAAAATCAGATAATGAACACAAAAGAGAGAGAGAAAAAAAAACACGACGAAGAATCACATACACACATCAACGACACAAAGTTGACAAAAAGGCAACAATAAAAACTACATTTCGAGCGAATGACATGGTAGAGATTCATTCGTTCTCTAGCATAATTTGCTGTGTAATCCATGTTTAGTTTGCTAATGAAAAACGATGAACAAATAAAATTGGTAGAGCAGAATTATAAAATGAAATGAATAAAGAAGAAGAAGAAGAAGATTCACTGTAATTGGATTTCCAACTAAAGTTTTGTAATGTTTTATGAGAGGCCACAACAGAAGAAATAAACAAAACAACAACAACGAATCCAATGGTGAAATGTTGGGCTCTTGAACGGCATTAAATGGACAGGAGAGAGAAAAAAACTCCACACGAAGCAAGACCTGACAGTATCACAATGTGAAACAACTACAAATTATGTTCTTGTATGTAACATATGTACAACACACATTAAAAATGGATCCAGCGAAGAAAAATTAGTGTGGTGTTGGTTGAAAAATTCAAATGAAATCCCGTTCGAAATCTGTCAACGGATTGAATTTGAAAACAATGGCTAAAATAGCAATAAATTCTCATAAACGCTACATGTAAAAACGATTTAATTGCATACACTTTCGCTCATTTCAACGATTCAAATGGTAATGGAACTTTTTCAATTTTTATCAGTGATGGTTTTTTCCTATCTGAATAGCGCTAGCTATTCGCAGCGCCTGTACAGCATTGCTGCCCAGATGCTGAATCGTAGCGGTTGCCGCACGCGCAACACACTTCGTTTGTACCACACAGAGCATATACGTTCGCGTTCGTTCTCTGTTCGACATGCGTTTGTATACTGACTATGGTATTAGTGTATCATACTCTGTGAGCTCACTGGTTACTTAGACTATATTACAATATGTTGTGTGGTACAAAACGCGTGCGGCAACCGCTTCGATTCAGCATCTGGGCAGCAATGCTGTTCAGACGCTGCAAATAGCTAGCGCTATTCAGATAGGAAAAAACCATCACTGATTTTTATTAACTGCATTCACCTTTATTGATCATTCTTGGAATAATAACTAAAAATGATAATAGAATTTTGAATAATGATGGGAGAATGAAGGGGTTACTTACTGGTAAGATCCAAGTGTATTATGACAAGTTCCACCATGCTGACATGGTTTTGTATTACACTCTTCAACGTCTTCGGAACATGTTTTTCCTTGGAATCCTTTTGGACAATGACATTTGAAATCGCCACCAGGCAACGAAATACATGTACCACCATTGTTGCACGGCGATGATGCGCACAAGTTTTGTTTTTCACAATATTTGCCTGAAAAAGGGGATTAAAATGTTTAATCGCATCGGTAAGAAATATCGAAAGAAAATGAATCTAACAAAGTTTGCAATGATAAACGGCTACTTACCAGTATATCCCTGAGCACATGAACATACGTAATCTTGAAGTGATTTCAAATGGCATGCACCACCGTTTTGACAAGGTCCCGAATCGCAAGCGTTGCGTTCCGAAATTTCACAGAGCGAAGCAGTGAAACCGATTGGACACCGACATTTGAATGTAGGCACTGCACTTGTGTAATCAACTTCACACATACCACCATTTTGACATCTTGGTCCAGAGCTTGTGTGGCATGGATTCAAATGTTCACAAAATTCACCGACATATCTAGTTGTACAGCTGCAAAGAAAGAAAGAAAAAGACCATTAGAATGTGTTTTGATCAATATTTTGATGTTTGTTTGTTCAACATTCAGTGTCTGGTATAAAAATCAAAGTCGAAATTCGAGTACGCCACTTAAAACAAGTAATCTAAAAAAAAATTTGCTTTTATATAATATTTTAGGTTAAAGAACTTTGGAACAATGGAACAAATCAATAAATGATTCTGTAACTGATATTTATTGCAACTGAGAAATGTCGCTGGGGGAAAAAAAGCGAAAGAGAAGATTGGCAAATTGAGAATAAACTCATCAATAAATATTTCATAATCGAGCATTGTGCACGCCCATGAGATTACAACATTGGAAAGCGAATTATTCAATTTGTAAACAAAAAAAAAAATGAAAAATTCTAGAAAGAACAATAAATATTTGTGTTTGTGTTTGGAAAAGAGCGCGTAAACCGCAAGGAATAATCCGGATCGAAAATTGGTTCTGTTGCTTATAATATTGTTTTGTGCTCACGTCTCACAGATATTGAATGTCACGTCATTAATAAAACGCAACCAAAAAATTGTGCACATAAATAATCCCCCGTACACATACACAGTCACAGCCATCGAGATCTTGATTCATTCGAGGATAGTGAGGCACAACAACGACAGAGTAAAAAAATTATATTATAAAACAAAACCAATAACGACATAAAAAAGGCAGCAAAGAGACAACAACAAGAACAATGCAAACAATATCGATGAGGAATTCTGAGTGTACTCTGTTCGGCTGCAGCGAGCATTTTATTCAATGATTGAGTGTATGTACATTGTACAAAAGCCACTGAAGGAGTCGTATACACCATCCAAATAAGTGTATTATACGATGTCATATCCGACCGAATGTGAATCTTATTCTCTTTTTTTAACACACAGATAGACACAATGCAAGCAAATTCGATCCGTTTTTTTCGTTCTCCTCCTTTTACTCTTTCACTCCGTTTTGTTGTTTGCTTTTCGTCGTTCATTAAACAAACGTACGAAATCGATTCCCGAAACATGCGAATGAGAGAAAATGAGCATATATAAAAGGCGACACTCAAAATTGGGCTTCTAAAAAAAACAGTTTTTTTGTGAAAAATGCGAAGCGATCGGTCGTCGAAAAAACGAGTTCAAAATGTATGAATTTTTTTAGATTGACCCAAAATAAATGGCACTTGCGCCGTTTTTGTTCCATCAACATATTTCATACATGCATTTTCATTGTCTTTTGCTTGATTGGCCACAATTTTAATTACATGGAAAAGAGTATTAATCGTTTAATTTGTTGTTCCTTTAATGAATTTGTTCGATGAATTCATCAACGGTGTGTGACGGTTGATAAATTCATCTGGTTTTTTTTATCGCCTTTTCTTGGATCGATCGAAATGCAATGCGTGACTTAAGGCCAGAAAACAAGGAACAGTTAACTATAAATTTCATCACGTTTATTTGCATGATCGTATGGACAAATTGCATGTAGAACCGCTTGTTCGTTAACAAGCAACACGAAATACTCGAAATTCATTACAATTTCTGCGTATTCACAAAATCACTATGAACAAAAAAGGTGCTTTCATCGAATATGAAATGCCATAAAAATCAGAAGCCATTCGATTACGCACCAGGCCCAATCAACAAAGTTAATGACAATAATAATCAACTGACCGGACTCGCATGAGTTGGGAAAAAACCCATCAAGGGCACATGCAAAGCACTTGTGACAATTGACATCGTGTGAAAGGTAAATCAAAACTGGCCGCAAACGAATAATTCTTATTCGCGCCAGCAAAGGAAAATAACTTTCAAATTCACACAAAACCGTACGGATTTTCATCACACGATGATATCATTAACTGTCTTCTTTTACGTTCAATTAGAATGAGCAAATAGTTTAGTGAATCGAGTGAAAATTTAAAACTGATGCATTTTACGATTATTTCATTGAATTATTGTTGTTTTAGTATATCCATTCTCGTAAGCACACACACGCTCTCGCACACACTTTATGGCGTATCCAAAGATGAATTCATGCCAACGAAAGTGTCATAAAACTACAATCACAATGAAGATTTTCTCTTCCTTCCAACGATGATTGAGTTACGCGGTTTAGCCAAGTAATTTGAACAAATGTTTACATATTTTATGCTGCGACACATACATTTTATCGGTTCATATAATCGTTATTGTTTTTAGCGTGTAACCAACCCATTGTCATGAACAAAAACAAAATTTATGAATATGACTGAGAGAAAGATAGCGGCTTTTTATTTGAAGATGCATTTCATTTACGACTTAATCAACAAGTTTTTTTTTGTGAAAATCAAACAGAGAGTGATACAACATAAATATTCGCCCCAGCTTTTATCAAATGGAGCGATTTTTTGATGAGAAAGGTTCCCAATGTGTTTACACAAACTCCAAAAATGTCACATTAAGCAACATCTGCTGCATTCAGAGTCGACGAATTGGAATTCTTTCTTCGCAGTCTAAATTATGGTATATAAAATCAACTGTACTTTGGATGATGTCATTCAATTAACCATGGTTTAAAACACATGTAAAGGATTTACCAAGTTTTTTTTTTTGTCAACGTAGGATTTTTTTTGGATAATTTCAAACACATCTTTTGACTGTGTAAGGCGCGAATGGTATTTTTTAAATTCTTTTTCAAGAGTAATTGTGATTTTAGGGCATCGTTGAGCTTCATGCAATACGCATTAAGTGAAAAAAAATTCGAATCCCACATGTTAATGGATTCACGAAATGAATGTATGAAACTGTACTGAACCAAAACTTCAAGCCGAATTACTTGAGCTATAACTAAAATATACGGTTGAAATCCCATCATTTTGCGACGTCAATATATTCTCTCTTTTGCTTTATCTCTTTCAAGTGAAATTACTTGTTGCCATAGTAGAATTTAATAACCTCCATTTCATTACAATATTATAATCGAATTAAAATTCGGATTCGGATGTCGCCTTTATGTTGATTTGCAAATTACCAACGAGTTTAAAAATATTCATTTGTGACGGTTGGAAAGAGTTCAAATTTCAAGTTTTGAATTTCTCGAGTGGAACAACAAATGGGAATATGGAAAAAAAGATGATGTTGTTTCGAGTGATATAAGATGTTGACCTGTGTGTCACATTGCATGCACGAAAATTGAGTGGAAACGTAGCACATATGCAAGATGTAAGTCTTTAAATGATAAAATGCCAAAGGATAAACGACACGAAATAAGTCAAGATAAACACACAGTCAAATTCCGAAAGAAATGTGCCAAGCAGAAAAACCAAAACCGAAGCGAATCGAGAAAAACCATTTTTATTTTTTCGAAGCTTTATCATTATTTTTATGTTGTGATTATTGTTATTGTTATTAATACGGTTATATTAGTCAGATTGCCTATGCGTTCTTTTTTATTTCTGCATAAAATTGGTGTGAACACTCCCAATGAAACATCATTAAAACGCCATGCAAAACACTGGCAAATGGCATTCGTGCGATTTCTTGAATAATTTGCGCTTCATCCAATGATGCAAACAACAACAATCGAAATCAAGCAAATTTAATTCGAACCGTTTTAATATTGATAATTTCCGATTTACTGCGAGAACGAATGCTGTGAGATTGTTATTTGTTTTGGCCATCATTTGTGTGCCCAATTTCGAAGACACCCGGATTGGTGAGGCCGTAACAGATAAACTGTAAATCGTAATTGCCTACAGGGTCGTTTGGTAATTTTCTGACAATCGATATATGATGATCTTTATTTATTATATCGATTCGTTTAATAAAAAAATACAAGCACTATTTTAGATCGGATTCTATTCGCCGATAGTTTTATTATTGCCGATTATTATGTATGGATTCGCGTGAAGAAACAAAAAAAAGGCAAATACTTAAGCATGAATGCAAACAAAAGGGGAGATATACGACACATCAATGTAAGCATAATCAAACATTTTATTATTAAAATGATCTTAAGGTGTGCCAAACACTTCTCCTCAATAAGATGTAGTCGCTGTTTTTGTATCTTACAACGTGCGCTCTTAGTGTCGAATCTGTATCGGAAATTTATTCCGTCTTTTATTTTAAATGAACAAACAAAAAACAACCGAGAGAAAAAAGGTATTTTCATAATCTGTGTCTATTCTATTATGAATCAAAGAATTAGATGCTAGCTTTGCTCATACTTCTGCTGCCGTCATTGCTTCAACATCATCGCACTCGCCATAATCTTTGTTTAATAAATACATTCGGATTAGATTCATTATGTCGATGTGGTGTTTCTTTAATTCTCTTTTCATTTTTTCCCCCTGATATTGTTGTGATTGCTTTTGCTTCTAGTTTTGTATTTTACAAAAGTTGATCGCTTGCGCACGTTCAAATTTTAAAACATCAACCAATTTACTTGTGAACCGTGTGATGCAGATGAAACAACGCCGATTTAGTTTCCAGTTCTTTTATTTACTTTAATGGCATTTTAAACGAAGCGTTTTTTTTCTATCTCTATCTTTGGAATACTGAATGATTTATCGATGATAATGATTATGGCGATTGACCAATTTCAAAACAAGAAGAATTAAATGCATCGACTGCTCTTAAAGTGTTTAAATGTGATTTACAGCAACGTTGTGGTTTCAAAAAAAAAAAACCAATTGCTCAAATGTCGTTCAATTGAAAGACAAATATCGTTTCAATTTGACTGTCAAACAATTAAAGTATCCTGTTGACTGCTTTAATTAAGTGCATGATGCTTATTGCTATTTTTTTCTACCCAGTGGTCAAATGAGCAAGCAATAAAGTATCGTGCATACAGAAAAAATGCCAATTTTTCACATTAATGGATGGTTTTTTTGTCGTTCGACGAAAATTCAATAAAAATCAAAGAAAATGAGGAGACAGGAGAGAGATCGAATGATTTGTCTTTGTGTTGCAACAAGAGCGATGTTCGATTGATGACTATGCGCGTATCACAC